ACCATAAGCAGAGCAAGAAAAAATATGATATTATGGAAGTAAGTGATTCAAAATATTTAGTAAAAAAATAAAAAAATCATAATGAGGTAATTTTTAATTAGTAGCACGTGAGAATGTTCACATACGTCGTCATTGATACAAGTTGGAGGTTATAGTTTGAGTCAATATTCTAAACTCAACAAACTATAAACTTTACATGTAAAATAAGTAAAATGGTCATTATCATATTATAATGATTACAGTTCTTACAAGCGCTGTTTGGAAAAAAAAAGTAGTTCGCAAACGGGCTACTCCATTGCAAAAAGCCTAGTCTATTCGTAGAAAAACCAATTTTCCAAATGGTCTACGATATATATTTAAATATTTTAAAATCGATAATTATTTGTGCGATTCTTAACATAATTATAATATATCAGTATTAAATATTAATATATACCAATGTACCAGTATTGCACCAGTGGTTTTCATGGATTCACAAACAGTTGTGCAATAGAAAAAAATCCAAAATATAATTAGCATACTGCGGTTTTATTGAAGAAACAAATATGACAACGTCTGTAGGTCGCATTGAGTAGTAAAATAAAAATATGCGTGGTTAATGAGTACAATGACTAGACTTTATTCTGATTTTCATAATATTATTATATCGTACATAAATGTCATGTATAGATTATCAACAATAATTATCGTTATTTACACTTAACTACGGCAATGTTATGGGCTAAGATCATATACTATTTTATGATCTAAGATTATGGGTAAGAAAAAAATATGATAATATGTGTTTATACATGCACACAAATCGATAATAATAATATTATTATTTTAACAAATATATTATAGTGAGTTGCGTGCTCCGATTATTAATAATGATATATAATAATAATAATTTATGAAAAAAAAAAGTAAAAATAATTATAATTGTAATAATAATAATATAATATTAATATGTATATATTTTTAACACCGTCATGCACCGTTATATTGACTTAAATATAACATTATAATGCCCAAGCGACTTGAAAAGTTATATTATGATTTAATGCAGGCACGTTAACAGAATATTGTTTTCGAGGATGGGGTGGTGGATTCCTCAACCCCCTCCCAACCCATTGTATACCTGTAGCTGTAAATTGTGGCCATTTTTAAATTTTTTTATGTAAATTGCGGTTAAGGATATTTAAAAAAAAATCAATATTTTGCTGTTTAAGTTGTTTAGGATTAAAAATATATTATTTAAATTTAGTAACAGGTACAAAATGCGTATGAACAAATAATTCCTTTAAACATTTAAAAAAATGTTTTTTTTTGCAATTCTTTCATTTTTCTTGTACATTTTCATACTTTTTTTCATTGATGTTTCAAACTTTTTTATTATGTACCTATCACTTATGATTTTTTTTTAAATGTCCCGGGTCGCAATTTATGCTGCACATGACTGAAACTTTTTTTCTAGGACGTTACTATGCTGTATACGTGCCTGAGATGATAATAATAAAAACAGCAATATAATTATCATTATTAAAAAAAAAATCATATTATTATAATATAACTCTCTTCACACGATGTGATCCAATATTATCGTTGACCTTTCAACTACGTTATTATAATATATATTTTGTACGATATAATAATGAGAAATATTATTATATGTTTATGTTTATGTTTATGGTTATTATTATTTCTTTTTTTTAGTGTAAAATATGTTTCATTTGTTCATGGCGTTACCGTAAATTTGTAAAACCCATCTTTGATCGGCTGACCGCCAAACTTCATCGTCAACGTGTAGTCTCCGGGTTCTTTGACGGAATAGTTGACCACGTAAGTGCCATCGTTTTTCGGCACGACTTCTGTATTTACGAAGTAACTGAAATAACACACGACGCGCGCRCACACGACGTTACTTAGGTATAGATACTTCACGATATGTTTCACAAACTCACAATATAATGCTATATAACATTGAATCGGGGTTATTAGTGGATTTAAGGAGGCAGAGAGACCTAGGTCTCCTCGTTGCCTATTTTCTGTGCTATAAATCATTCTAAATATATAGTTGTGACATAAAACGTATGGATGAATAATTATTATACAAACTCTTTAAACTTTTTTACTTATAAGTAAATAAACTTATTGTATATTATAATATTAAATTCCTCTAAGCTAATAATTATAGTTAATAATATTGTTTTTTTTATAAATATTTATTTTAATATGGTTTTGAAAATTTGTGGCCACTACGAGACCTAAAAGATCTGCTATTGATCGGAATTTTACGTTATGATTYGATTTTTTAATAATACAGAATRGGAGAAATAGGTGCTATAATAATGTACAGCGAAAAGATAACGCAATGTAGTCAATAATTATTTATAATAAATTTACTGCTTTCAAAGCTCGRACTTAAGGCATTTGTGAATTTGTTTGGAAAGTACATATTGATATTCTGGTTTGTTATAAGTTACATTTTGTTTTAAAACAGTATATGGTATACTGACTACATCAGCGATTTCCACCATTTTAATTATGCGGATCAACAATAATGTAAAAAAAAAACATTGAGGCCCCCTTACCTAACATACAGGTAAGAAAATATATAAACACATACAAATAAAATGATAAAAGAAATATAGACGTGTATAAAATTGTCCAAAAATCTCGATATTGATTCCAATTTAAATTTTCAGACCCTTGGTATAGACATTTAACCAGTCCTCGGCCTATGGGTTGGGAACTACTGGACTATATATATATATATATATATATATATATACTATATATACCTTCCCGCCAAACATCGAAAAATTTTGGGTAGGGGATATAGTAAATCTAGGTCTTATTTGCACTTATGTATCCCACATTTCTTATTATCATTTTTATCGCATAATTTTAGATATTTCTTATTTTTTGTGAATTTTCATATTCTAGGTGTTATAAAATTACAAATGATTTTTAATAATCGTAAATTCTATAGATTAATGTTATATAGTGTCATATGATTATGATTGGTGTTTGTGAGAAGAATGCTAAGGATCGTAGTAAGTGGAAATTGAGGACTAAGGTGGCCGACCCTAGATAGTTGGGAGAGAAGGTGAAGGAAAAKAAGAAAAAGAAATTCTATAAATTTGACAAGAAAATAAAGTAGGATAAAAAAAAAWAAAATTATAAAAATTATAAAATTGAAAAAGTATTATTTAACTATTTCGATATTGTTTTGAAAAGTGAATTTATTAGTAAGTTATATAAGTTTTTTGATTTAATATTTCCGAAAACTGGTTATATAACCTTTAATATTGGCCAACACGTATTAGTATTAAACAAACTTTCTATTCAGTGTTTAGTTCGAAAATATTAATTTTAAAATACCCATGTTCTAAGACACTACGATATTAAGATATATTTAATCTAATTTAAATCGATTGGCTATATATAGTGTGTACCAATRTTAATTTGTATTGTTTATATCGACGATTTATTTTATGCAGGATCAYAAAAAGATTGAAATTAGACGAAAGTATGCACTAAGAATAAGAAAATAATAGGTACAAATAAATGCATGCATAATAAATAAATATGTTTTTCTATTGAGATAAATTTTCGAATTTATTTATTAAATATTTAGTTTTTGATTTCTAAAATGAACTTTAGAATTATCCGATATTATAAAAATGTGTACCAAAATCTAAAGGTTACCTACCTAATCATTTTTAAATTGAATATGAAACTATTAAACAGTCTATTGAGCTGTATTAAAATAAGTTTAAAAACCGGGAATCTAGCACGTTCCCAGAGTTAGCTGTTTTAACATGGTTGGTTACCCATCATTAAGTCCGATAAATAATTCCTGAAGATAAATGACCCGTGACATTATTTTTCCTGTTATCAAAATATCCTCTACATAAAATATCCAGCTCAAAAACATTACTAAAAAATGTGTACAGTTTCATTTTTATCCGTTAAGTTTTTCAGAGTTCATGCAACATAATATTTCAGTACGTTTTAGCACTTAAAATTCCGAGCTTTGAATCTATTATCTTCGCATGTTTGTACTATTGACATGTTWAGAAATGGACTGCGTGCTCCCTAAAGCACTAATATATTTGAAGATCAAAACATAGAGTGAAGGCGATTGACCATAACTAACACCAAATATGTAAGAAATAATAAAACGATTTATTTTTCCAATGCCAATGAGGATTGTTTTAATTGTAATGACTAATAAATGAAAATTCAAATTAGATTTGACACTTACAATTTATAAAATCTGCAAAGTTCATTTGTTTTTGTAGTATAATTATTTTAAAATATTTATTACTGACAGAGCAATAAGGACATATAAATGGTGAAAAAATATAGTATTCGAGKATGCTCTATGATTCCTTCAAAAAATACACCAATGTATGGGTGAGTTTTTTTCAAATTATAATAAATTAAAAACTAAAACCAAAAAAACCATTAGTTTTTCATACATTTTTAAATTGTAGAAAATTGAAATATTTAAAATTATTTGTAATTAAATTACTGTGACGATTTAATTTTATCCAATCAAATTGCTTTAAGTCAACAATTCAAGTTTAACAAAAGAAAAATTTAACTTAATCAGTTTAAAGTTGAGATAGAAATTAAAATAAATTAAGCTCGRTAAAAAAATTTATTTTTTTCTAAGCTGCTATATTTTTAAGTCATAATATAGTGCTCTACTATTTTGATTTACCCAAATATTTATCAATAGGCAATTWACGCTGTGCAAACATCGTATTATAATGACATATTATTAGAAAATAAATGAATAAAATCGAAATKAATCAACAAAATTAGTATTKTATGTTGGTTCCATGTAGTACGAAAAGGAAATTAACTCCACAATAATGATWATAATTAACTAGTTAAGTTAACTTTTTGATGAGTTTAAGCCCACATTTTCAATTTGAATCATAATATTAAGGTACCTAATTTCCTTTGATAAATTATTGATTGCTACTTTTTCTTTCATACTCGGGGTAAGTTATAGTCTACCTCCCTAATTAAAATATTAAACTGTTTTTCTTTCTAAATACGCAGTCAATTTCTYAATATGACTATAGTTTTTACACGTTGTAGAGACTTACTGCCCGTCCACCGGTCTTATCCGGCACGTCACGTTCCCATCACCGCAGTTTCTTGCATTTACGATGATGCTATGGTTTTTACCCGTCAGTGTTCGGCTCTCTACGTTCCCTGTGATACGACAATTGGCCGCCTTCGGACGGATACACGGCAAATAAAAATAAATAAAAAAATTGAAATAAAATGAAAACAACGTCAACATAATGTTATCATAGCAATGTATATTTTATTACACTATGTTCACGGTGAGAACAACTCCGATAAAAATACCACCAATCAAATACATTTCTCAAATAAAAATATAATATACTACTATAATTCATAGTAGGATACAGGATAAAATAGAAAAAAAAATATAATTATTTAATTTTTAGACAAATTTTGCTGATGAAAATGTTTGTTTAAGTCTAGTAGATAGTTATTTTTTATACTTTTTTTTAAATGTTAACATATTTTTTTAGAGTAAATTAATGATTTGAAAAATAATAACTTTTTAGAGTAGTATACTTCACTACAATATTACTGTTGGACATTCATTTTTATAATCATCTCAACAGATATTATGGAATAGTATTTAATATAGGGTCTAGAAGTTAATTCATTTCCATGTTTGTATTTGATTGTCCAAATTCAAAAACTAAATTAAATGTTGTTTCTCGAATAAAATTGTAGTTTTATGAAGAATTTTTTTTGAAAATTGTACTKCGATTATATTATAATGTTTATTTTCTGGTTGATTTAAATCGTGAATGTTATGTTGAAAATTATATATGTTAAAAAAAATGCATGTATAGAAATTGAAAATAATTATTTGTTAGCTACTATAGACTAMAACTATAGTAGGTATTATAACCGGTCCAAATTTTCAGTGGCACTTCTGAGAATAATTTATTTATACATCTTCCATAATTTAAACGTGTTCCTAAAGAACTTTAATTAGGTTTAATAATTAGGTTAAATTAAAAAAAACTTACAAAAAAAATTCCACGATGAAAAATTACTTACATTATCGCCATTGTCAAATATATCGTTTGACAGAATGGACATGAACTAGATTTGGGAGACCTTTCTTATAAACTATAATGTTTTATAATAAAAATAAAGAGGTGGGTATTTAAATTATTATTTAAATATATTATATTCATATTAATATATAAAATATATCAATTTTTACCGCTATAATTTTGAAAATGTATAGGGATAGTATAGGTAGTAGGTAGTATAATGTATATTTTAACTAAATATTTATTTTTATCCATGAGATAGTGTTATAATATCATATTTTATATTGGAGATATTTTTTTTCGGAGTTAATTATACCGKAAATCACCTCTGCTATAATCAATCTATTCTATAACATAATAGTTTGATTATTTTGTTATGAAACAGTATGATGAGTTCAAAAGAAGTTAAAGAAAACTGATGTAAAATCTAACTAAAGATTATGATATGCAAAACACTCGCTTGGACGTATCGTCAATAATAAACGGCARCACACAACTCGAAGCGTTTAATTTTTTTGTGAGATTGTGTTAAATGCTATTTTTTTGAAAAATCTTCAACTACCAAAAATATAATATAAGATTGTATAAGATGAGTAATAATCAAAATATAAATCATATGTTTCTGTAAAACACTCTTCTGGACGTATGATTCACAATAAACGGCAACACACAACTCGAAGCACTTAGTTTTTTATTATTATTGTGAGATTTCGTAATAAATCCGATTTCTAAACTATTATATTTTTCAAAAAAACTTCAACCACTAAAAATATAAAAATTTATATGATTGTATGTAAGACGARTTATAAACAAAATACCGATCGTATATTTTTTGCTATATTATAATGTTATTATAATAACATGGTAATCAGAGAGCAAACGACGTCAAAACATTAGTACAAATAAAATCACATATTTTAGGTACCTAAAACAAACTTTAAACAAATCAAACAAGCGAAACRAAGCGTAATCGATAACTTRGAATAATAAACAGTATATAATATGATATTATTATTTAAATATGGGTAGGTAATGTTATACCAATGTTATATTGGTATATACCACTCGCTAACAGGTCTTTCATGGTGAATACGGCGTACACTCGCCAGTCGGGTATAAAACGCGTTTTTTATAAAAATAATATGTCGTGAACGACATGGCGAGTTTTTCAATAATGTTTCAAATTCCRAATGAAACGTTTCGGCAAGCGTTCGCTTTCAGCAATAAACCATTGGGTACTTTCAAAATTTTCCAAGTGATGGATCACACTACGCCGAGACTTAATCGCCCGCCTGCTTCACCGTCTTACTTATTATAAGCTCGCTTGTATCAATCTTCCAAMAATACCGAATAAATAAACGATAAATATGTTTAATTATCCATGGTATTTTAAATTTAATATTAATTATTTCTTCTTCGGTTATCTAACTTTTTTTATGTAATAAATAAATAATAACACGCGCGAGACACCGAACAATGAAGAAGAATAAAAAACAATATTGTTGATATTTTTAATATCATTCACGGTATTCACTCTTCGTCGTTTTGTTTTTTTGTTTTTTTGTTTTTAAGTTCTTAAGATCATTATTTTCGTTATTATGATCACCTCACCAAAATTGTTTAACATATATTATAACGTCATGTGTAAAAACGTCATTGGACAATATTATCGTGGATCACCTYTGTATGTGCGCTCAACTAGCTTTAAAATATYATTATTGTCATAAACGATATAACGGACATCAGTTGTTTTTTGTTAGGAAGTTATAYAACATACTTATTTTATAATAATATCAATAGTTACAAATGGTATTCTAAAAATTCCCAGCGTGCAACTAAATCAACTAGATTTAAATCGAATATAAAATGCGTTAGTAGTAAGCTGTATCGYGTGCATTTAGTATAATAATATTATAATTGTAACGTAATATAATCAGTGATGTTCCCATCAAAGTTGTCCAAGATATACTAAAAAAATATGTTCTGTATGCCATTACTTACATTTTACATCCCATATTCCTTATACGATATATAATATGGAGTGTACCCAATGAAAACAACACTGCATATAGTATATTATTTACAATAATAATTCTCTAATAGTTAGCTAATTATTATTTATTATTATTAGGTATGAAGCATATACAAGCATAGGCGGAAATCCATTAATATTTCAGGGGAGGAGGAGAAGAGTTAACATTGTTAACATCAATTTGAGTGGGATGGGTTTTGATCTCACACAACTATAATATTAATGTATCTGTTTTTCGGGGAGCTAATGAGATATTTGGGGAGATTATGTTTTCGATTTCCGCATATATAAGCTCAAGCCGTTCAAACGTTACAATAATTTCACAATGATCATGCAACAGGAAACTCACATTTCCAGTGGAGTAGGACTGTACATGGATCGGCGATTGCGGTAATGGTTTTCCATCATATAGCGCTTCAATCGAGTACCGACCGCAGTCATCTGGAGTATACTTTATTTTGTATAAATTTTCCTTCTTTTCTATGTCCACCGGCCTGGGAAAACCATCGGGTCCCTGCAGMAAAGAGTACGGTACCATTAACATATTTTACATMATTCATAAGAAAGTCGAAGAACATAATATTCCCACTAAAGCTTACCATAATTCTCAAGTCCAATTTTCCGGAACCAGCGTCAGTAGCATCCACGACGAAATACGTGGGAACAGATGCCTTGACACCTCGAGAATCGGATACACCGGGGCCTTCAATCTTGATCTTATCCAATTCGAACTTAGGTCGAACTCTGAGCTTGAAAGGACTAAATAAAAAATAATAGAAATAAATGGTGACAGCTCTTCTATCATAAAATAGTCTTATGCACATTATTATTTAATTTATATACTATTATTAATGTAAATAAATTTTAATTCATAAACGAATCACGGATTCACATATCCATTAAGTGTCATAATAACCTGCAGACACTCTATATCCATCACATAATTGGCATAGGTACGTCCAGTGTTTTAATTAACAATTATTGGATTTCTAAATTAAAATAAATTTGACTACTAATAATTTTTAATCTTGTATTATAAGTTTATAACGCTMGGATTATAAGTAAAGATAATATTATACATAAAGGGTCGATTACACTGAGCGAATTCACTCGCTAGTCGTTGGCTAGCAAAGTCGCGCGTGCGAGAGCGTGTAGCGACCTGTCTAATTACATTGAGCGATTAAACTCACTCGCTCTCCTAGTCGTGCACACGTAGTCACTACTTGCTGGCACACTAGCGAATCTCAGGGGCGTCATTTGGGGGGTTGGCAGGGTGTGTGGTTGCACCCCTTACTTTTAGAATGTTACAATTGGCCTGCGCCTTGAAGCCTAAAATAATGTACGAGTCACGACCCACGAATGCACAATTATTTATATGATTAAAATCAAATTGTAATAACCGGTCTATAATGTATGGAAATAATTGAATGCAGGATAATATACATAATATACGTATGTATATCTATTTTTATATGGCCTGGTGAAATTTCAAAATAGCCTGCTTGAARCTTCGCACACCCGAAAAAAACCTGAAATGACGCCCCTGGCGAATCTGCCAACTGAGGTGATTACATTCAGCGATTTTACTAGCTGGAGTGTAAAAACACCAGGTATTAGCGACAAAAGTTGCATGGTCGTCAACTTTAATCGCGGGCGAGCAGCGAGTATTCAACACGCGGCGAGTAAGCAACTGACCGATTATATTGAGCGACTTAAGTCATCGCAAGTTAATTCGCCAGTGATTAGCGAGTAAATTCGCTCAGTGTAATCAACGCTTAACGTCTCAATTGAATTATCATTTATAAATAAATAGTTAATAGTTTAATATTTATAATCATTATTAGTTCTTCATATTTACCTGTCCGGTACTTGATATCCGTTGTACAATACGTTGGCTGTAAGTAGAGCGCCTTCTGGATTTGGAGTGTAAGTAACATCGTAGGTACCATCTTCATTGTCACGAATAATCGGTTTCTGTTGTAACGGACCTGAAAAATAAATATTATATTATATTATTACATAATTATTTAATTTATATATATATATAAAATAATAATATCAAACATAATATGCTAAAATTCATTAATATTAATGATACACGTTTAGTTAAAAGTTTAAAATATAAATATATAAAAAATCACTGGTAAGATTGATAAAAGAATGGGATATGTAGTTAGTGAATAATATCACCGTGGTAGTAAGTTCTGAAATAAATGTTAATGAAAATTTCTCAATTATGGAAGTATTACCTAAGCAATAATACATTATTGGATTTAGAAACGGTCTTGCTCTAAATTAAATGTGATGGAAAATTATAAGCTTTAAAATCGAATTCAGACACATTGAAAACAAAATTACGTTTGTCCCCGATAAATAATGATTATCATATTGATAAATATTATTAAATGCATATAATACATTGTCATTATTAGAAAAAATATTATTTTTTCTGTAGCGTGAACATAAATTAATATTATACTCACATTGACGATTTAAAATAATATTTAACATTATAGTTTAAATAACTAATAAATAGACGATCCAAGTGATTTTACCTTTGTCGGTTACCAATTTCACGTCTACATTTCCTTTAGAAGATCTCGACGCGTCCACTTTGAACGTGATAGGCGTGTTTGCCCTGCAATACTTAGGGTTGATGCCTGGTCCACTCACCTTGATGTCATTCACGGTTGCAGGACGATCGACTGTAACCTATAATTCAACAGATTATGTTTTATTATGTAATATATTTATTTTAATCGCAAATGCAGGCTGAAGTCAAATTTACAGTGAATAGGCATAAAAATAGGTATTTCGGAAAGATTTATAGTTCATATAATATTAAATTTAAATGAATATAGAAACTAGTTAAATAATAATGATTTGATAAAAATAAAAAGTGCCAATAGTAGAATAAAATATTAAAAGAATATCCTCATTACAGTATCGCAATAAATTAAGTATTTCACACGCATAAATAATTTACATATGAAACAAGTAAATGATATGAAAACAGAATAATATTCAGAACGGAAATTKAAGTATAGTGTTCAGCAAATTCAAATGGACAAATATTTGGATTAAGGAGATGCCACTAGGCGAGAGAGTAAAATTATGATGTAGCCGGCAGCTGCTATAATAAAATTATGAGTTAAACTTCCCCGCCTCGAGTGATTGAGTAGTCATTAAAACCTGGGAAAGAGCACCGTTGATTAGAAACTCAAGGAAATCAATTCAACATTCCAGTTGCTTGAAGTTAGCTTGAAAAAGTCTATAGTTGACTATAGATGCAACAATATGCCAAACGTTTTGTAAACATAAGAATCGCTCCGTTTAGATGTAGATCGAAATGGTACAAAATAATGACTTTTACATCGGTTCATAAATAACATAAACAGTTATAAAATAATACCTTAAACGGTGATCCGGGAATGTGTTTTTCAGCGAACTGAATGCTCACATCATAATCCCCAGATTCTGTTGGTGTGTATTCGACCGAACACGAACCATCGCGATTATCTTTGCACGTCATTTTTGCCTCGGAAGGCCCTTCGATGGCCAAACCTAAGCTTCCAGTGCCAGCTCCTATAAAATTAAATATATATAACAAAATTAAAATAAAAATACAAAATGCATTCATAATCCAAATAAAATTTTACTGTCTATTTGAAAAAATGACGTATAATACTTGAAATAATAAATTTGCTTAAATTTTAAACACGAAAATGTCCTAATTCCAAATATTTGATAACATTTTTATCGCTATAGTATGTAATCATCGTAAAATATACAATTTAGTAAGTGTTTAGGTTATAATAATATCGTATTGAATTGTACTGTAATATATTATATATAATATTAAGATGAAAATAACATAAATAAACACAATTTAAATTTTATTAAAATTACTATTATTAATCAAACGATATTTTGAAGATAATAACTTATCAATATATTTTTTTTTTAAGTTAGAGCATAACAAATAATTTAAATATTATTATGCTTAAAAAAAAAATAAAAAAAAAATATTGGTATGTTTGATTATAAAAAAATGAGAATAGAAATATTCAAATAAAGATCAGTTTGATTTCTCCACAATAGTATCTAAGTATTTTCTTAATATAAGAAGTGTTAGAATTTTAACTCTAGTGTCTAAAATATTCATATTATGCATTAATGTCTATTTAATTTTATAATCTCAGTATCACACATTAACCAACAGAGAAAATGACGTTATGCAATTACCAATAAATTAATGCTTTGAATAAGTATTTATATTTTAAATAATTTTTAATAATTCAAACTAAAATTTGAATTTTAAAAATTATACAATTTCCGATACTAATAAATCATTAAACATTTTACATGAATCACCTTTTGTTTCGACAGTAAAAGCATTGACTTTGTTGATGATTCCTTTGGTCAAACCCGGTCCAAAAGCTCTGCATTTGCTGGCGTCAGTTCCTCGTTTCACGTTAACGGAAAACGGTGAGCCGACTATGGGCACCCCGTCGTAATAAATATCAATGGTGTGTGGTCCTAAAAAGTCGATAAAAATTAAACACAAACACGTTTTTAAAAATACTTTTTTTCAAGAAAATTACAACTTGTTAAAATAACAAAATAACATTTTTCTAAAACATTTATTTTTTGCCATGATCATTTTTTTTTTTTTTTGACTACTGAGTATTTTTGAATCTTTATTCTAAAGTGAATTTTTTGAAGTTTCTGTAGAAAGGTACTCTAAAAAACGTCGATCCACTATAATCCATTCAACTAGACTTCAAATACTTATAACTAATAAACTAACTGTCCGAAAATTTGTATTTTTCTAATCGAAATACTAAAAAAAATATTTTGCTTTAGTAAATTATAATATGTTATAACTCAAACGAATTATAATTTGTAAAAATGTCTACAGTTAAAAATAGTAAAATAAAAAATAACAACATCATTTTTTCGGTAAAAAGGAGACACTCCTAAATAACCAAACACAATAAAATAATACACCAAAGATATGAATTATCTTACACACGTTATGGTCAGAGTTCTCAAGACACAATATTATTATACCTTCTTCGAACGGGGTGTAACTGATTTTATATGTTCCATCGCTTTGTGGCGTGATGAACGTTTCGGTTCTGCTGCCAGATGGATTAGTCACCGTACACGTAACGACGCCTTTGCCGTACTTGGCAACGGCTCGAGAATCCACAGAAAAGTCAGTTGGTGATCCCAAGAAAACACCTATATTAAATATAAAAATAATAAATTACTGACTTTCTAGATCTGATAAAAATCCATCACAAACATCAGTGCTACAAAATCAAATAAAACGTAAAAATCAACTAAAATAATATCATAGATAAACATTTTTTTTWAAATTTTTTTTTATGTTTTTTAATAACACTATATTAGATTGACACAACACCAATGCAATAATTTATCACTTATTATTTGGATTTTATGTTATTTGGGTATTGGATTTGACTCAAGTTGTGGCACATGTTTACAGTAGGTGATAAAATTTCCCTACCTACTCATTCTACCACATATTAAATAATGAGCGATGAATGATTGCATCAGGGTTACCTATATTATATATTGTGATTACTAATCCATAATAATAATAAAATGCACTCGAAGGAGTATTAAGTTATACACAGCATAAAAAATAACACACTTTATCAGATAAATTAACTGYTGAAAGGTCTAATAGCTGAAAAGTAGTAATAATAACGACATATCTATTATCATACGCAGCTTATTGCTTATAAGTGCGTTCGCGATATAAATTATTATGGTTGATAAAGCTGTAGAATAAGCCGCCATTAATAGTTAGCTTAAGATGCAAACAGTTCGTTTGTTTTTTGACCTACATCGTCGATAGGCACGAAATTGTGCTTTCGGTTTGGACATAATTCCATAAACGTGCGCACGTAGGGAAAATAWTTTTAGGGGAMTTTATAGTTTTTATGTRCAAAATGACACTTAAAAGAAAAAAAAAATCAAAATTTATAGAAAGTTGTTTTTAATATAACCTATGTTCAAATATGTGACAAGTCAAATTATGAAATTAGGTTTATCAATTTCAAATAAATACGGATATTTATAAAAATTTGTTTTAAAACCAATAAAAAAAAAATATCTAAAAATCAATTATTTTCTAATTAGAAAGAAGCAGTAACGATAAAAACGGAGATCATAATATTATTTTAAGTAAATATTATCAGTATTTAAGGCATCTATATTTTATGGGAGCACGTTTCATTCTAAGTCTGCGCACCCCTACGGAAAGTTAGTACAAAAAAACATTATAAACAAATAATWGCAATAAACGGTAATAAACGATTAATAAAAAAACATTAATGATATACATGTTGATAACAATTATTTGTTGGTCAGTCTGGCGCATAATTGTTATGATAGGCTGTTAATTCGGAAAACAGGTCGCAAATCAAAATTCGAACCGTACAACAAATCACGCTAAACACGTGAACACGCTCAGAACACATCACTGTCACACGGCAACACGTTTGGAAAACTTGGTAGCTGCAGTGGCAGTTGGTAGCGGTTTACCGTTGGCCAAAAGACCGTTGCCGGAAGCCTTAACGTTGTTAGGAGGTCGTGGAGCATCGCCGGCCGCCCGGCCACCAATCAGCGCGTTAAACGGAGACCCTGGAATCGGTTGGTCATCAAATGTGATGTTGATGACGTAGTGGCCGACCTCGACGGGCATATACGCCACTGAGCACGTGCCGTCCCCGTTATCTCGGCAATTGATGGCCGCTTCACACGGGCCCTCGACCGTCACGCCCAGGCCACCCTGGCCGGCGCGCTTCGTGTCGATGGTGAACTCGGCAGGCCGATTGACAGGGCCGCCGGAAAGGCCAGGTCCACGGGCCGTCACCTTTCCCGGGTCGTTGGCCCGTGTGCACGACACGCGGTACGGCCGGCCCACCTGTTCACCGCCCAGCGTCACACTCAGTCGGTACTCGCCCACTTCGGTTGGCGTGAAGTTCACCACGTAACCGTCGGCAAAGGGTACCACGTGYGCCGTCACCGAACCGCCGGACGGGCTGGTGATCACCACTGCAAATTCCGCCCTACCAGCTTCTCGCGTCATCACCCGGAACTGTTGCAAACTGTTGACCGGGGCCACTGTGTGGTCCACCGAGAGCGAGTAATAATAATAATAATAATGACGATTGTTATGATAGTAAAAATGATAATATAATGATTTCTCTGCACCACAGCTTCGTCAAGATAGATATAAGACTTGGAAGTTGAGTGAAAAATATTAATAACATAGTTGTATATTATTATGTATTAATTACATCCAGATTGGACAATTAAACTAATGTTCAGACTTGCTAAGTTCAGTTTCAGCCATTACTTTTCTTTACTATTTTTCAAACTTTTTTACTTTCAAAATTAAGAGTAATATTATATAATGGGAGTCAATCATCCAATTAGAGAATCCTTTTTTTGATGTTATACATTATTTAGTTGTTTAATTTTTATTTAGCTCATTTTTGATAGATTTAAACGTTAAACTGAGGTATCTGATAATTTCATTGTTTTGTGATTTGAAAATACTTAGGTCAGGAATGGTTAAAATTTTCTTGAAAAAATATTTAGTCAATTGTATTTAAATCATTGTAAAAATAAATTTTAAATCCTTTTGAAATCTAGAAACCATGTAATCAATTCATCGAAAATCTACAATTAAGTGTTTACAATGTCGATTATAATTAATCCACATAAATATAAAACCTATTCGTAAGTCGCGATTATTATTTTTTTCTATTAAAATAATGAAAGAAAAATAATTTTAAAATTTAAATTAGCCTAGGTACATTTTATTTCACATTTTATAAAATAAACAACGATTATAATACTTTTATAKTTTTATGCCAAAGCAATAAAATATTCTTAGAACCCAGAAATATTSTCAAATATGCTAAATTAATTGTTCCATGTAGCTTCTGTGTCGGAGTCTTTATTATTAAGGGGTAAAATTTAGACGAGAGTTAGTTACACAGATTAGGAATAAGAGCATTACCTATTTAAAATTGTTTTTTTTTTCTATGACACAAAAAAAGTGGATTTTTAGACATTTTATTTAGTCGATTTAAATCATAAAACTTTAATAATGACTACTATAATAACCTAGGTATTATTATATTAAAACGTTGATAAAATTGTTTAATTTCGCTATTTAAGCATTATAATAAAATTATTTTTTTGTTTTAATAAATGAAAACATATTATATGCATCTTATACCTATCAATTATTTCTAAAAGTATCAAATATCCTGTATTACTTATTTTGTCGGTATAAAACCAATCCTAATATATAAAATAAAGATATTAGGTATATAAAACTTAAATGTATATAAATTTGCTGCTATAATAACTTCCAAGCTTTAATTATAATTTACGTTTACTGCAGTGCATTTTTGTCGTATTTGTTTATTTTTTCGTGCCGAAATTACAATAATATTGTTGCCATGGTATAACAAAAGTAGTAGGTAAACTCTATATCCATTTACAGTAGCATTCCCTGCCCTATATCAATGGATTAAAGAAAAATGATTAAATGACCATATCTGGATCCAACACTGGAGTAGGTACCTTAACAGTAAACTGACTTTATAGAGATTATCGAGTAACTCTATAATTCTTGGACAGCTTTTTAACAAATTCATCGATACAGATCTCAAAATACTAATATAATTACTACGTCGGAGAGTATTTAGAATTTTTTTAAACTTACGAGTTTCGAGACCATCCACTTTGACTTTGGACAAGTCTACTGGAGACTGAACGTTGATTTTKATCGGGCAATCAGGTACCTTAACTCCACCGTAAGTGCAATTCAAATTGTGAACGCCCGAGCTTGTCGGCACATAGTCAATGAGGAACGAACCGTCTTCGTTATCGTTAACCTGCAATGGCACGTTGACTCCTTTGTCGTTTACCAGATTCACGTTGAGCTCCCCTGCGAAAAACCGATGAACTTCCATTATCTAATGTGCATTGACATACATTTGTTGATTAATTATAAAATTTAAAGGTATGAAGTAAGAACAATATCAGCTGTGCTTTTACTTACGTGTGTTTTTACATTTGAAGTTTTTAATATTGCCCATTTAAAATCAACAAAAAAGTTTTTTTCACCCGAAGTCACGTTATTTATAATTATTTTCATTTTAAGAATTTTATTAAAAATATTTTATAATGTTAACTTGGTATATTATACCTAATGTACAAGTTTGTAATACAAAAAAAAAAAATTATATTTGACTAAATAATAAATATTAATAATGTTGTTTAATCTAGTGAATGACATATATTATGAAGATCAGATTTTAAGGATTCGACTATTAATCAATTTTAATATGTTTTTTTTTTTAATAATGACCTACTTTGAATGAAATTAATATTTGAAAAATTATAAAATACGTTAATGTTTCGAAAAAAAGATGTAAGATTAGGTACCTAGTAGTTAAAAATAATACCATGTATAATATTGCAGCATGGTATACCTTAACTTATATTTTGAAAAATACTAGTAAGTATTTTAGATTTAAACAAAACAATTTAAAATTTAAATAAGTTGGTACATAATAAAAAATATTATATTAAAAGTCACCTTTTGACTATCGTTTAACCTAATAATATTATGGATAATTATAATAATACATTTATCACTATCTTTTATATCATTACCAAACCAAAATACATAATATCTATATTTTGTTTAATAATTCAAGAATCAAAATAATTGTTTCGAACGATATTGATCGCGTCGATAGGCAATATAGTCACAAAGTAGAGTTTAACAATAACACGGTTATTATATAAATTATAAAGATTTTGAGTAGACATAATTTATCGAGTAGAATATTTAATTATTTATAAAAATAGATTTTTTGTGAGACTAAATCAAAAAAAGTTTTACAGACCAATGGATGACCTTGGTGCAAGTGTATAATGTGTGGACATAACGATTAGTGTTTTATTTTAAAATGTGTTTTCGTGTTATTTTTGGTTATCTAAAATTGTATCACAACTACTTCATAACACTCCATTACTGGACGTCATGCTCGAGCCAAATGGCAAAGTACAAGGTTGCCTAGTCATAAAGAAAAATTTTAATTTTTTATCAAATCTTTTGAAATATTAACTACATAACCACAAATCTGAACAATTTCAATTATATATGAAATCTTTGCAACCTAATAACGGCTCTCTTTGGAAAGCAACCAAAAGGCTCACCAGATACAGGGACAAAATCCCACTTCTCAGGCAGGAAAACGGTCAACTAGCTATTACAGACAAAGACAAATCATATGTGTTTGCTTCTCAATTGACTGAAACATTTCAACATCATTTGTGCACCGATCCCGAAAAMGATTCAATTATCGAAATTCAACGATTTCTAACAGCTCCCTCTTATACCCTCTCTAACCTGTCTATACCTGCTAAAACCATTTCTCCTGGTAAAATTCAGTTTATAATTAAAAAAATACCCCCAGGCAAGGCACTTGGAAATGACCTCATTACAAATAAAATTCTGAAAAATCTGTCTCTCAAAACTATAACATTGCTCACCCACATATATAATTCTATGCTAAGATTATCTCACTTCCCAAAAATCTGGAAATTTGCAGTCATTATACTTGTACCCAAACCAAATAAACCTAAACACTTATCTTCATCATTCCGTCCCATAAGTTTACTCCCAGTTCTTGGTAAACTTTTTGAAAAGGCCCTCCTGAAAAGACTACGTCCCATCCTTCAAAACAACTAAATCATACCAAATAATCAGTTTGGATTTAGAAATAGGCACTCAACAATCATCAAGTCCATCGTCTTACCGACGAAAGCTCAACTGCCCTCGAAAACAAAGAGTACTGTTCTGGACTTTTTTTAGATATTTCTCAATCATTCGATGAAGTCTGGCACGATGGCTTACTAAACAAATTAAAACTTTTCATACAAGGTCCCTACTATTTTATTATAAAATCGTATCTACAAAATCATTCGTTTGTCATACGACATGGTAACGATATCTCATCTACTCACTCAAAATATGCTGGAGTTCTGCAGATTAGTATTTATAATATATTCACAGCAGATATTCCTCAATCTTGTAACACCCTTCTTGCAACATACGCCGATGACACAGCTATTCTTTCCTCTAGTTCAAATCCTATCCTAGCTTCAGCTACACTCCAGGATCATGCTAATAAAATAGACGAATGGGCCAAAAAATGGAAAATCAAAATAAATACTGACAAATCTGTTCAAGTTACTTTCACGTTAAAACAATCTCCCCGTGAATGCCCTCAATTAATCATGAACAACGCCYCCATCCCTGTCCAAACTGAAATAAAGTACTTAGGCATAACACTCGATAAAARACTTACCTKGGGYCCCMACCTAAAAGAAAAAAGAAAATCAGCGAACAATAGACTTCACCTCCTCCGACCACTCCTCAACTCCAAAATACCACACCAAAACAAACTTATTATAATATATATGTCAATTATAAGACCAGTCTGGTCTTATGGAATAGCAATCTGGGGCCCAGCCAAACCCTCGAACATCAGGCCAATTCAGACTTTTCAATCAATTGCGATAAGGTTAGTAACCAAAGCCCCCTAAAAACACTCCATTACTTATGCAATCCTAATTGGTTCTTAAATTTCAAATGTTATTAGTTTATTACCTATGTCTGTTTTCAAGTACAAAATGGTACAACAATAAATACTAATTCCCACGGTGTTTTATATTGTTGTTGAAGGTAAAACATAATATTATATCATGACTTGGGTAGTTACATTAATATTTATCAGTATATAGGTATAATTTTTTTTATCAATATATTAGTAATGTGATACATTAATTTATCGATTTGTCAATTTATTATTGTAAGTATCGTTTACTTAGGTCTATTATACATTGTACTTATAATATTTATCTGTAATAATTATTGTCTAATTTATTATTCAAAATAACCTACAGTGATAGTAAATAACCCAGTGGCGTCATTTGGGGGGGGTAGGGTAGGTGGGCATTTGCCCCCCCCCTTGTCATTAGTGGGCTACTATCGGGCCGGTCGACTTGGCCGGCCCGGGCCGGGTATATGGTGCTAGTTTTGGGCCACAAGCACGCAAAAATGATTCATGACATTCATGTCATTGCTAAATAGAATATAATCATGATTCGTGGCTCCAACTAACACGTAAATAATTATAAGGTATCTGACACCTGTATTCTGTATGTGCAGTGGTGGACTGGACGAGTGGGAAACAGGGTTTCCCGCCTCCCTGTAGGCCGCTACTCGTATAAAATATTTACTTATTAATATTATTGTGAAATTATAAATTAAAATGTTATTGTCGTTATCGAATAACGGAATAACTAATAAGTAATAAGTAATAAGTATATAATATTATTAAACATAAAAATCCAAATTTCTGATTAATTTAAAATGAGGGACCCACGGCTATAGATTATAGATAATAATATTATCGTATGTATTTTATTATTATCAATAGCTGTGGCGGGACCTAACCTTGTGTCCGGGCTTGTTGATAACTCATTGTTACAAGTTTAAAAATAGAATTGAAAATAATTATTACATGGGCCTTATGTTATCAAACTATCAAAGTTGGTATTTAACAGAATAATAAGAACCTGTCACTGCCTAGCATTTAAGCAACTTTWAAAAAACTTTTATTAATGATAAATATACAATAAAGTATTGTATGTTTTATTTTATTTTTTGTTAATACCATTAACTCATATTTGGTGCAAATAAAACATAAACCGGGGTAAAATTACCCTTAGAATATGTCATCATATAGTAGCTAATAGCATTGAGCATATATTAAAATTACTCAATGCTAAATACTAATAGGTAATATAGGGTATTCCTCTACATATTATATTTTATATACCTATGTATTAATTAGTCATTGTTATCTTTCAAAAAAAATGTGTTATTCATGCCTAAAGTAACCACAGTTATCACAGATAACTAACTAGTATGTATATAATTGTGTAAGATGTAAGAAGACTGTTTGTACTGAGATAAAAATGTAATTGTTAGCGAGTGGTTTTTTTTTTAAATTATGGCCTTTGGGCCGGTCAAAATTTTTGCCCCCCCCCCCTTTCAAAGCCTGAAAATGACGCCACCGAGATAACCTACTATCAATTACAGTAGATAAAATTAAAATAAGAATCTCAAATTTAATTTTTGTCAATTTGATTTTAGAATTTCTATAATAATAAATAATATTCAAAAGACTTGTTATATGACATATTATTATGTATCACGTCATTCTAATAACTTAGGTATATAAAAACACAGTTCCTATAGACACATTAATTCATTGTATATAAAATAATAATCCGTGTATTTATAATATGTGAACTAATTTACCGATCCCGGCTTCTGAACAATCGATGGTGAAATGATTGGGTTTATTGGTCTTGACACCGGATTCGATACCTGGTCCAAATATTTGTACTTTATTCGCGTTCAACGGCTGTGACACGAATACGCGGAACGGACTTTTTGGTACAGCGACGCCTCCGTAACTAACCTATATAATATGAAAACAGCACAAGACAAAATCTATAAAGTTATATTTTCAAGAGTACTTGGAAATGATTTCAACAGGGTGAGCTTTTGATGTTATTTTTTTGGCTGCAACTTGTTTGCGCACAATCTATAATTTTTACCTGAAAAATCGAAACTCGTTTGCGCTGACGGTTATATTAAATGTACAACTGGTTTGCGCACACAAAAATAATTATATTATTTTATCTTGGTGACAGATTGGTGTTAATATTCATGGATAAAGATTGCGGAATGTAGACCAAATTAAATACATACAAATTATAAGAAACTGTTATTACTGAATTTAATAGACACGTATATTGCCCTAAAATGTTTACAATATATTTACCAATCATATTATATTAAAATTGAAATTAAAATTAACATACATTTTTAACTTAAGCAAGTGACACCTAATCTTATTATGCCCTAGCCTATCAGCCCAACGGGATTAATTTTTTTCCCCTTTAAAATTTTCCAACATTCCTATCGAGTATCGATACTAATAATATCTTTTCAACTAAAAAAAAAAAAAAATGATTTTGTACATTTTATCCTTTTTCAATCATACAGGATTTTTAATCTAATCAGACATCTTCTTTTCTTTCTTATTTGTAAATAGCTTATTTATATTTTGTATTTAATTTCACATAATTATTAAACTAATCGTAACACAAAGTTTAAACTAAAAAAAAAAAACTTGAACAAGTATTAAATATTATTTATTAACAATTATTAATATGCAAGTATTAACATGCATTTTTAATCACACTTATGAATACATTCATAGACAGTACTGTCTATTAGAGGAGAAAGTAAATATATGTAAGTACTTAAATAATTTACTTGTTGGTAATCAAACATTAATATTATTCAAGGTATTAAACTATAAAATAAAATAAAATTATTAAAGTCTAAAGGGTAACTGAGAGCAAACCATGTGTATGGTTATGGCTCAACTGTTTCYAAGCGAGTGCCCAAACAAGTTGTTTTTTTTTTTTGAATTAGTGCGCAAATCGGTAGCGGCCATTTTTTTTTTCGTGATTTACCTGTAACGTGTGTTTGCCGATCGACTTTGGGACGTATTTGCAGGAAAACGTACCATCCTTGTTGTCTTTCAACACGGGTTCTACGAAGTTGCCATTTGAATCGATGATCTATAAAAAATATGTTTTAAATATTTTTAAATATTAAGTTAGTATTTTATTAATGATTGTAAAACGACGAAGAGGGCTATGATTATGAGTGTTATGACAATGTTTTACGCTTAAATATTAACTATTCATACTTTAAAAAAAATATGATCGCAAACTTGTTAAGATTTCATTTGAAGAGTTAAGAAGTTATTATTCATAAAGGTAGCAGTATGAATTTTGTATAACAAATTTGATAGAAGTATGGGMTAGTTGCTAGCAAGGCTATTTTAGCGATAGGTAAAATAGAAGAGAAGCTAAATAAAACATTTTTCGTCATGGTGTAATACATATTACATATCATTAAAATATATAAGGACAAGGCAAGTATTTTTCTCCTCCTGAAGTTACCTTGACGTCAAGTGGAGCTACTCCGGCCTTTTTCGTATCCACCACGAATTCAGCCGGTTTTCCTTGTATGACGCCATTTGGTTGTAATCCACTTCCGTAACAGTTTACCTACCCACACATCAATCGTAAGCACATAATTATTAAAAATAATTATCAACAATAATCGTTGCATGAGATATCTTTGTACCTTGTCGGGATAGAAATCAGTACTAGGTAAAATGTTGGCAATGTAAGGTGACTTAGGTATGTCCTCGTTATCACATAATATGTGCACGGCATACTCTCCTGGCGCCATCGGATAGTACCTGACGTCCGCCGATCCGTCCCCGTTATCTTGGCAATCGATTTTAGCCTTTGAAGGTCCTTCGATACTGAATCCTGCAAACGTAACGGTTTTCGTCACAAATTAATATTGGTAAAATTATTTCTAAAATATATTTCCAAATAAATATTATTACTTAGTGTAAACATAATAACAAGATCAAGTTCTGGTCACTGCTTTTTATTTGTTGAAGAAAAAAATATTTCAATTTCGAGTGAAGACTGATATTTTATATTATTTTATAATAAATCAGTTGAGTAATAGGTAATGTGCCAGTCAATTCATGAACAGGAATTAAAAGGAAAATGTTTATTTGTGTACATGTTAATTCAAAAAAGGAACATTTTTAAAACAGATATATTATGCTGAAATCATTTTTAAAAATGTATAGTTATTTTAGTATCATAAATTGTGGTGCCCATTTTATATCTGATAAACTAATCAGCCATAAAAGCTTCGGTCCCACCACTGCATAAAAAATAGAAGCGACACTCTGCTCAATAGCTAGTCTCTAAAAGTTTGACTTTAATGTCATAAATATATCTCGAGAAGTAGACGAGTGATGTTACGAACGGTTTTCTGTACGAATGGTTATTAGAATGGTGTAATGAATAGTTATTATGTTGATAAATATGGATAATATCGTTAAACATGATATGTATGTTTGCTGATTTTGATAATCAATAAAACCTTAAGGCTGTCAAACTTCTGTAAAAATAAGTTTAGGATTCGTGAAAGTATCGTAAACTACCCCTGCGATTGCTTTAGTGGTTTTTACTTGCCTAGTGAACCGGTTTCTCCATTAGTTTCGACAGTGAACATCGCTGGATGTGAAACTATGCCTCCGGTAAGTCCAGGTCCGTAAGCACGAATCAAAGTCTCTTTGAATGGGTTGACGTGCACTTCAAAAGGTGCTTTAGGGATTTCCACCCCTGCAAACGTCACCATCACAACGTGGCGGCCGACTTTCCTTGGGTAGTACGTTGCTTCATACGTGTGTGCATCGAGTTTCTTCATGTTTACGGGTTCTTTGACTCCGCCTACGCGAAAACAAAACATTTAGGGTATATTACTAACCACTAAGTCTGTCTAAGTTTATTCTAATAGTAATTAGATCCGAGATAAAATATATTGTTTCTGTTACGAGTTCTTGCGTACTGCAGGTAAAGTCAACATAAGCCGATTCAGTTTAAAAATAAAATTATTATGATTATTTTTTTCCACATAATCCAGTGGTAATTCAATATTTTTGTGGGGATGGGGACATTTTCACTACTTTCATATAGGAGAACCCCTAAATAACGGACACTTTTATGGCAACCTAATTTTAATTTTGACAATTATTATCGTAAATATATAGAATAATCGTGTGAAAAATAAATATTTCAAAGGCTGAACACACGACAAAGCACGGCGGGCAGCTCGCCGGACGTAAGAAAGGCCGGTGATCGCCGATTATCATCGTTAATGATGTAGAAACCGTGGGTGTGTCGCGAAAAATACAATTATAGTTTATCTTATCCGTTTATTATCGCATCGATGAAAACATTTTCTAGTTTATGTTCTGTAACTGATTTTTTTAATAAATATTTATTTTTATTTTTTAACATTTTTAGTAATTTTTACATACGTAATATCCTAGTTTTATATCATAATTTTAATAATACAAAAATACAAAATATCATTATTATAAATTTTAGTATTGTATAAATAATAAAAAAAAATACTCGTGTGGCGCTATTGTCCGGGTGTACTAACCTAACCTACACCGGAGATCTGTTTGGTAGAATTTCTAATGGGGCACCCGTAGGTTTCTGCCATGCCCTGGAGTGGGGGATGGTGGCACTTGTTCTCCAGACACCGTGACTAGCCCGGAAAAAAATGCCACCCGATGGTCGAGGATCGAACACGGTCCGGCTGATCCACACAGCCGACGCGTTAGACCGCTCGGCCACTTCGTCCCCCGTATAAATAATACGAGAAAT